CTGTGGGCCTGCTCTGTGTGTATAACTGTCTAAAGAAGGTGCAAGATTCTTGTGATCAATCCTTGGAAAGCCAGTTAAAAATAAAAACTGAAATCTGGTTCTAATAATAATATTTTATTTAATTTTTTAAAAGATTTTATTTATTTATTTGACAGAGAGAGACACAGTGAGAGAGGAAACACAAGCAGGGGGAGTGGGAGAGGGAGAAGCACGCTTCCCATGGAACAGGGAGCCCGATGTGGGGCTTGATCCCAGGACCCTGGGATCATGACCTGAGCCGAAGGCAGACGCTTAACGACTGAGCCACTCAGGTGCCCCTAATAATAATATTTTAAAACAGCAGTTTAAAATCCAAATAAATCTAAACTACATGGTACCAATGGACATTAAATACTGGACATTACCCCTAATTTTTAAAATTTTTTAAATGAACTTTAATTTTTTTTAAAAGATTTTATTTATTTATTTGAGAAAGAGAGACAGAGGGAGAGAGAGAAAACTCAAGCAGGGGGAGCAGCAGGGAGAGGGAGAAGCAGACTCCCTGCTGAGCAGGGAGCCCAACGCGTGGCTCCATCCCAGGACCCTGGGATCATGACCTGAGCCCAAGGCAGACACTTAACTGACTGAGTCACCCAGGCGCCCCTTTAATGAATTTTTAATTAATAAAAGCATTTTGCCTCTGTCTTGCCAATGTGCATACAGGCCTTGCTAGAGCCCTTTATCCTTGAAAGGCTCTGAGCAGCACTTTGCAAAGAAGCAGTTACTTGAAAGCACTGGACTTGCATTTATTTTGTTTGATACATTGTTTGTAAGGAAGTCATGGTTTCTAAAGCAAAGTAGCTCTAGTCCATGAAAAATACTTCTTAGGCCAGAAAAGAAAAGTAGTACGCAGGTGTTTTCCTTCTTGTTTTGTAATAGACTACCAAAAAATTATTCACATAATAATGTTAATAAGCTGGGCGCCTGGGTGGCTCAGTTGGTTAAGCGACTGCCTTCGGCTCAGGTCATGATCCTGGAGTCCCGGGATCGAGTCCCACATCGGGCTCCCTGCTCGGCGGGGATCTGCTTCTCCCTCTGACCCTCTTCCCTCTCGTGCTCTCTGTCTTTCATTCTCTCTCTCTCAAATAAATAAATAAAAATAAATAAATAAATAATGTTAATAAGCTAACCTAAATGTATTATTCTCTATATATTTATATTATTTCTTACATTTGTTATATATTGTTATGGCATATATTATTTCTTATATTTATTTGTATTATGACATAATAGTAATATATTAACATATAAACAAGTGAACAAGAAGAAAACTTAGGTTCTCACTGCCTTGAAGATAAAACCCAATGTCCTAAGCATGGCATACAAAGTTCTTCATAGCCTGTCTTCAAGTTACTTTATCATTTCCCTATGCATACATCCAAATTGGCAATCCATACTTCTTTTAGGACTCCATTTTATTGCCTCTGCCTGGACTGCCTTTCCTCCACCTTCTTCATCTCATGAACTCCTACCTAGTCTTTAGAACCCATCTCAGAAAGGACCTCCTGTGTGAGCCTTTTCCCTTGGCTCCTCCCTGTGCAATTCTAGCATCTTACTGTTTCCTCCTCAGTTGTATGGAGTATGTATCCATAGCTCTATATTAATATTGTTATTATTAATATGCCTGTCTTCTTGAGAGAAGGAGCCATGCCCCATTTTTCTTTATTATTTTTTTAAACGGAAGCTTGAGAAATGTTCAATAAACGAATGAAGAAATTAAACGAATATACAGATGAGGGGAAAGTTGCCCTGATCTCCTTGTAGAAAATGAATCAAGGAAACAGACTTATTTTTCCAAACGTATACAGCTAGTGAGAGAATGTGGGGTCACTGATGCAGATGAGAAGGCATTATAGTGAGTCATATAGCAGCTCAGAGCCCTAGACCAGGGTGAGAGAGGACATAGGTCACCTTTCCTGACTGTTGAGGCCAATGAGAGCTATAAAACCACCTCCCCTCAGTTCCAGTACACTTCTATACCTGTTTTTCCTGTCCACACATTTGGAAGCTTGCCTGCCCCTTTCTATTCTGCTCTCTGTAGCAAGTGATTTCTAGGTTAAAAAAAAAAAAAAAAAAGCCAGTGCATAATACTAAGTTGGAAATGGGGCAAATTGTGTTATTCTTTTTTTTTTTTTTTTAAGATTTTACTTATTTTACCGGGAGGGACACTGCGGGAGAGGGAACACAAGCCAGGGAGTGGGAGAGGGAGAAGCAGGCTTCCCGCTGAGCAGGGAGCCCGATGCGGGGCTCGATCCCAGGACCCTGGGATCATGACCTAAGCCGAAGGCAGACGCTTAACGACTGAGCCACCCAGGCGCCCCAAATTGTGTTATTCTTGAATTGTGATTATTTATCAGGGTCATTGTATTGAGAAAATTGACCATTATTCACTCTTGACCAGCTGATGAGAAATGAAGAAATGGTTTTCCTCAGAATACCTTGGACTAAATGTTAACACTCAAATAGTTATGAGTTGGCCCATCTTTTGGAATTTTTAAAAACTTTTATTTTGAAATAATTATAGGTTCACAGGAAGCTGCAAAAATAGTACAGGGATGTGTCATGTATCCTCACCCAGTTTCCCCAGTTGTAACATCTTACATAACTAGAATGCAGAAAATTGACATTGGTACAATCTACAGGTCAAATTTAGATTTTACCAGTTTCATATGCACTTATTTGTGTGTGCGTGTAGTCCTGTGCAGTCTTATCAGCTGTGTAGATTGCCACGACCAGCCCACAAGCGAGAGACAGAACTAATTCATCTCTCAAAGATTCCCTGTGCACCTGTTCTGCAGTTCTCCCCTCCTTTCCTCTCCCCCATTCTTTGGTGTGCTTTATGTTTTTTCATATTTGATATTTCTCTTTTTTCAAATTTGATATTTCTTACTAATTCTCTTTCTTTGAGAGGATGGGTTCTCCCATTGATTCTTGTGCTGTTTCCAATGCTGAAGTAGAAAAAAGCACACAGCTAGGAAGTTATAGGGGACCTTCTCTGCCTACCAGCAGGAAAATCATTAACATGAACACAAAGAGACCTCCCAAGGGAAATGATTCTTATTCCTATAATTGGCTCGTTTCCAGGAAAATGTACATTGGCTCTGTCTAGATAAAGGCTTGGCATGGTACAAAAACTGATAGGAGCTCAACAAATATTTAACAGACAAGCACAGTGATCCAACAGTGAGCAATGCATTCCATAACCAGTTCCTAAGAGAATGTAGAACAATTCTCCATTTGTTCCAGAGGGTAGTTGCTTCAAATCAGCAAAGCTTACAGCAAATGGAAAAATAAAAAAGCTAGCAGGTCACCTATTTGTTTTTCCCTGTTTATGTATCCTTAATTTATTTCTCTAGCAGGAGACAAAAGACAAAAATAGACTATAGAACTGACTGAAATCGTTCACCTGAAACATCACTGCTGTCAGATGCTCTCCATTCCTAAAATCCACCTGATCCCTCTTCTCAGCCTGGTTCAGCCTGCCTTCTGACAGGAGGGAAAGGTGTGGACTGTGTAGCCACGTAGGTAATATAGTTACCAAGTGGTCAGTGAGCTTACCTTGATAGCAGGCACAGTGCTAAGAACTTTACTTATAATAGTTCATTTAATCCAGAAAACAACCCTGTGAGATAGGTGGTTTTGTTTTCTTCATTTTACAGTTGAGACAAGTAAGAGTTCAAGAATAGAAATTTTTTTTTTTAAAGATTTTACTTATTTATTTGACAGAGAGAAAGAGAGAGGGAGCAAGCACAAGCAGGGGGAATGGCAGGCAGGGGAGAAGCAGGTTCCTCGCCGAGCAGGGAGCCTGCCCCAGGACTCCATCCCAGGACCCTGGGATCATGACCTAGCCGAAGGCAGACACTTAACCGACTGAGCCACCCAGGCGCCCCACGGAAATGTTTTGCTTAAAGCCACACAACTAGTGAGGAAGACGTGGGATGTGAACTGCTGCTAGGGAGTCCTGGCATTCATCAGGTCTGAGGGATGACACAGAATCTACACACAACACTTTGAAAAGCCCCCCAGGGTAAATCTGATGTACTGACTCTTTGGGAAGAGTTGCTGGAATCTACTTCCTGCAAGGAATGCCTTGCTATTCGAATGGAGTACAGACCCAGAGAATTGATAAACTTACATGAAAGATGCTGTTGCTTCATAAATGCCTATTTCAGGTAGACAATGCTGAACGACTAGTGACTTTTGCCCTGATGCTCTGTCTTAAGTTGTTCGTGTCTTTATTTATAAATTTATGTTTCAGCTCATCAAACTCTCACCAGCCTGAGTAAATACTATTAGCACTTTCCACCAGAGGGAATTAAGTATCTTGTAGCTGTGGAAGCACAAGTTAAGTTACTTACAATACTGAGGTGGATGGATTCTGACATAGCTCTCTTTTTAAAGCTTTTGCATTTACTTTTCTTTTAAAAAGGAGGAGGAGAGGGAGAGGGAGAGATAAGTACTCTGGATAGGAAGAAATAAAAATATGTATAATGCCATAAAAATTTCCTTTAATCTGAAGTATATTTGGACAAATACAGGTATATGATTAGGCTTAATGAAATGTTCTTAGCAAAGTCTAAAGACTGCCGTATGAGGCATGAGTGTGTGAATTAACATAAAAAGTAGTTTTGTGTTCACAGGCCAACAGAATACTCATTGCATTTGTTTCATTCACAAGAACAAGGAGGCAAATATCTCAAATCACACTCGATTTCAACATACCACGCCAAACGACTAATAAACCACCCACAAAGAATGAAACTATTTTGAACTCGTCATTCTGCAAATACACATTATGATATTAAGATATGCATAAAAATTTTAAAAAGATATGCATAAAATTGTGTCAGGCAGAAATGTCCCAACCTTCCGTTGAAAAGAGGAGGAGTCAAATATCCTGAAAGGGTTGGGACCTGCCTGCAGTCCCTCGGGAACTTCCTGTTGTCACCACACCTCTGAATTAGTTATCTGAGCGCTCTCTGAGCAAAGCCCTCAGTGAAACTCTAAGGCTCTGCCCAGGAAACCAGTCTTGTTGTGAATGTGATACACTCTCCAGTTTCCATATGCTGAGATTATACTTCTTCATCAGTTTGATGTGCTTGGTCAAATCAGGTAAGTCATTTATTGAATGGTTTTCTTAATTATTTAAAAAACATTATTAGTAGTATTGTCACTTTGCATTTCATTAGCCCAGTTCCTTCAATGGACTTTTTTAAGTTTTATTTTATCATTTTTAAGGAAATAAGATATGTGTTAAATGAACTTTCTAATCCTGAAAAAAAATTTTTCTCAGTAATAAAAGAGATTATTGTTCCTTGCAATTAACTTGTTCTTCTGATGTACAAAAAATAAATGTGCTGAGAAATCTAAAAGTTATTTTCTTTCATAGTTAAGTTTTCTGTGCCTTTCCACCTCTATGAAATAAGATCATTTATTTTCTGGAGATTTTAAGTTTTATTTTATTATAATATCTAATATATAGAGGATAGGTTTTTATAAGCTTTCATACATTGACAGTTTATTTCAGTTATCTTTTAGGAAAACATGACTTTATGTAAACCTCTTGGAATGGTGGTTGGCATATTGATAACTTAAAAATTATTAATCATAATGAATATAAATTAAAACAGTAAGGTACAGGGTCACCTGGCTGGCTCAGTCAGAAGAGCATTCAACTCTTGATCTCAGGGTCATGAGCTTGAGCCCCACATTGAGTGTAGAGATTACTAAGTGAGTGAATGAATGAATGAATAAATAAATAAATAAAAATAAATAAATCAGTAATGTACATAGCAGGGTAACAAAAATAAAATGAAATGCTTTTTTTTAAAAGAAACTCAGCCTTCTTAGGAGTCCAGTTCTTTTTTTTAATGATAGTTTAGTCTTGTGAAATTTTACCATAGTTTATGGTAATAAAAATTGGTACAATTTTCTTAAGGGAAATATGTTACGTATAGTATCCATAAAAATGTTCATGCCCTTTGAACTAGTAAAACCACTGCTGAGAATTTATTCTAAGGAAATAACTTTTAAAAGGGGAAAAAACTCATAAGAAGATGATTCTAACTATGTTACTTACAATAACTTGAAACTAGATTCAGCAGAAATGTTTCTACGTACAGGAATGGATAAAGTCCAACATAACAAACTTTTTGAAAAATGCAGTCTTTAGAATAATTCTGAAGCTACGTAGAATTGTGCAAACATGTTTATAAAATGTCAAGTAGACAAAACAGAATTCAAATTTGTAGATAAACTAAGATTACAACTGTGTTAAAATCATGTGTCCATGCCTATAAATAAGGTTTAGAAAGGAAATGGAAAAGTTAAAATAGTTGTACTAGGATTTCAGGCTTATATAAATAAATTTTTCTTAATTTGTGCTTTTGAAGTTGATTTAACAGTAAGTTACAATTATACTAATGATAGTATTTTTCACTGAGAAGTCAACATTTTAAAGTGTGTGTTAATTAAAAATTTTTTTTTTTTTTAAAGATTTTATTTATTTATTTGACAGAGAGATAGCGAGAGCAGGAACACAAGCAGGGGGAGTGGGAGAGCGAGAAGCAGGCTTCCTGCCGAGCAGGGAGCCCGATGTGGGACTCGATCCCAGGACCCTGGGATCATGACCTGAGCCGAAGGCAGACGCTTAACGACTGAGCCACCCAGGCGCCCGTTAATTATAATTTTTAAATTTAAAAAATGAACATAAATTTAGAGATAGGAGAGTGGGGTTAATCCTGACAAAAACCTGATGCTGATTTGTGGGTACTTTTCTTCCAGTCTCGCATTGTATATCTCTGTATACAAAGTTGGAACTTAATTTTTTGGTGACCTGCCTTTTTACTTAACATTACCTCATCAGTAAAGTCTTATTTTAAATGATTCTAGAAGACTGACTGCTGAATTACAGAATCTAAGCAGAGACACACCACAACAAACTTCTGTACCTAGAAGGAAAAAACTAATTATAGCTGTAAGCTATATTTAGACTTCTCAGTATCTTGCAACTTCCATGGGAGAGGGTATTGAATAAAATGCATCTGATAGTAGAAATTATTAATCATAAATACAATGACTTTCTGCTTTTCCATTCTTTGGCTTGCTGTCCAAAAACCAACAAGTATTAAGATGTGATTCGGAAATGCAGAGGACACCGGTCATTCACTATTGGAGATCTTTGTTCTGTTCTAACCTTTGTGAAATCATGATGGGAATGTTTGCCATAATTTTACCAGTGAACAAAGCAATGGCTAGCAAGCTCTAGTGTGCACTAGAATCACCTGGAGACTTGTTTAAAATGCAGACCATCCCCAAAGATACAAACTCAATGGGTCTGGGGTGAGATCCTGGAATCGGCATTTCTAACAAAACCTCTGGTTTTTGCAGCTGGAGGTGATCCAAAGAACAAATGCTGATAACTATTGTTCTAAATTAAGGCTGTGGTCATAAATATATTTTAAAGTTACTCTTCTATCAATACTTTGGCTTATGGAAACCTGGGTAAAACTACATAGATATTTGCCTAGAGAAAATAGCTTAGTGCCCAAAACAGAGAATTATTTCCTCGAATATTTGAAGGCCTCCCGAGATAATTTATAACTCCGTGGTGTGTGTGTGTGTGTGTGTGTGTGTGTGTGTGTGTGTGAGACAGACTTACCCTTCTCTGACAGGGAGACAAAGGTGAGAGGTGGTAGAGTATGAATGTGCATATTTATGCACATGATTAAGAGATGAGAATGAGGAAATACAGTATCTCATTTGTTTTCTCAGTTGTATCCTAGAAGTTATGCTGGTGGTTAAAAGCAGAAATGTCCAACCAGGATGGCATTCTTGCCCATATGCTTCTTGCCTGTATTTGTTGGGGTTTTAAAAAAGAAATGAGATACTCCACCAGGTTTGGCCCTAGCCAACTGGGAATGTTTCAGTCTGCGAGCAAGAATGTCCTGTCCCCTTCAAGGTGCTTCAGGCTAGATCAAGAATCAAAATGACAGGGGCGCCTGGGTGGCTCAGTTGGTTGGGCGGCTGCCTTCGGCTCAGGTCCTGGAGTCCCTGGATCGAGTCCCGCATCGGGCTCCCTGCTCGGCAG